TCAAATGATATATCTTTCCAGTAATAGGATCTAACCTTCTTCCAACAACTCTCTCAACAAGAATATCTTCTGTGACCTGCAAATCAAAAGTCAGATGGTTAACAACAGTTGTGAAGCTCACACTGACTTTTTGCATCCAACAAACGAAAATTTCCATTGTTCTTTTTTTCCTCTCTATGCATCAGAAAAGCTAAAATTCGTGATGTAAAACAATTTTCCTGGCTTATAAACTAAAAAAAAATCAAATAAAAGAACTAAAATAGGCAACGATGCTTCTTCAAGACTATCTCCTATTTTATGTACAATGTTTGAACAATTATAAAACAGTAAACGCCAACAGCAACAAAAACTAATCCTTACTTCTAGTAGAATGAAAAGATCCGGCTTGAAGCCTAATTCCTTAAGAGCAATTGCTTGCGATGAGCTCCTAGGGTATCCATCCAAAAGCCAACCTTTTTCTTGAGAATCTGGCTGCAATAGACGGTCTTTCACCATCTACAGGATTAAAACCAAGGAATCATCACTAGCATGACAAAATGTCAACATAAATAAATTCTCCTTGTTCCATGTACTCCCTACCATGACAACTATTTCATCCGGAACCAATTTTCCTTGTTCCATGTACTCCCTTGCACACCTTCCATTTTCACTCCCAGAAGCAATTTCTGCTCTAAGTAAATCTCCAGCAGCGACGTGCACTAAACCATACTGCATATAGAGGATGACTTGATTCAATCTGCTTTTGTCATGAGAAAATCATGACATAAAGTGGTAAGTAGTAACTTATATAAACAATGCTATAAATTCATAACGATTTGAAAACTTCTCCGGCCTCAAATTTCAGCGTCATGAAGATACACACATTACACATACAATCATCCGAAATCAATCAATTGCTTTACGTGCACACCCATTATATCTTAGGCAAACAAAAACTGCATGAAAATTTTACAAAATGGGACTCCTCTGAGGCAAATAAAACATTGGTATCGTTGTGCTTTCGAGTAGCAAAAGTCCCAAGTTGCAGATAGAACCAGCAAATCAAAACAATTAAGCATAAAATTTCGTAATAGCAAGAACTCACTTTCTGAGTAATCAGCTGGCACTGCGTTCCTTTACCGGAAGCAGGCGCCCCCGATATCATTATTCTTAGCGGCTCCACCTTGCCACAACCTACAACCTATTAAACAACAATATAATCAATAAAATTAACAAAAAAAATAAACAAAAACAAGAAATTGTGGTGGGAGGGTAAATGCGTACCAGGAAATTGGGAGCTTTGCTGGAACGAGAGGGAATTAGGGTTTGAGGGCGAGAGGGGGAGAAGGTGGAAGCGAAAGAAGATTGGGAGGATCGAAGGAGCTTGAAAGGCTTGGGCTTTGAATTGGAAGACGAAGACAGATGTGCGCAGGGGAGCTGAGGAGGAGCTTTGTTAGGCTGCGCTACGGCGGATGCCATTGCTTGGTGGACTACACTTACATTGCAAGCCATTCTCCCTCTCCCTTGCGCGCGCGCTCTCTCTCTCTCTCTCTCTCTCTCTCTCTCTCTCTCTCGGCGGGTGGACTTCACCGCGCAGAGCTTCACATCCACCGTTAAGTTCAACTGTAGCGTTAATATGTAAAGATTTGGCTTCGGCTATTATCTAGGGGTGGGCATCCATACCACCAAACATGGGATTGTAATCTTTCCAAAGACATGGAATAGGGGTGAAGCTATCTGCGTACATTTTTTTATCTTCTCTACAACTTTATTAATTTCTATCATTTAGTGCAATGATGGGTGGTGGTAATGGTGGTGATTGTGCAAGATTAGTGATTAGTGGTTGTAGTGGTAGGTAACGTCACTTTGTTCTTCAACAAAGAAATAAATGTAGAATGATTAAAGAAGGGTATAAAATATCCATTAAAAGCTCAACTCTGTTTTTTTATGAAATTAGCTATTAAAAGCAACTTACAAGCTCTTTTTACAAGCTACTATCTAGAGGACATTACTTTCAAAATAAGCGAAAGTTTTTGTTTTTTTTCCAAACACTTTTTATTGCTTAACTTTAAAGTGAATTAGTTTTTGGTAAAAAAAATAAAAAATAAAAACCAAACGAGGCCTACTGCGATAGCCGTCTACCACTTATTACTACAGTTCTATTTTATGAATATTCCTCTTAACTTGTGAGGCCTTCCATAAAATTTTGAGTGAGTGTGATACTTATATATAAGAATCAGACAACTTGAGTTTGCTACTGCTACATTAGTGTGAGTCTAATATATTGGTATCACACTCAAATTTTTCAACCCGCTGTAAGAGCAAGTCCACCCCTAAGGACTTTGCGCCAGCACCCAGCGCATTTATCCACTCAAGTGAACAGTAATAGACTGGAGTGAACAGTAATAGACCAAGGCATCTCCACCCCTAAAAAAATGCGCTGGCACCGAGCGCATTTATTTGGTGTGTTTTTTTTTTTAAGTTTATTTCGGATAAGATTTTTAACCAATTTCGGATAAAATTTCAAATAAACTTAAAAAAAAACACACTAAAATAAAATTTCATACTCATCAAATAAACTTAAAAAAAGCACACTAAAATAAAATTACATAAACTCATCAAATAAACTATAAAAAAAAACACACTAAAATGAAATTACATAAACTCATCAAATACACTTTATTCTTCAACCACAAGCTTTTTGGTATTTTTTTTCACACAAAAAGTATATGAAAGCTTTGGTAGGAAGTGTAGAAAATATTGAAATGTGGTGTAAGGTGGAAGATGAGGGTTAGATATTTATAGAAAAAATAATAACTTTTTTAAAAAAATTCTGTATTTTTTTAATAATTTTTCTGTATTTTTTAATAAATTTTAATTTAGTTAATTAACGTGGACCGTTGATCTGTGATCGGACGGTCCATTTTAAAAGTCAAATTTAATTTTTTTTTACCGTTGGAAATCCAACGGTCTACAAAAACTAGCCGTTGGAAATCCAACGGAATACATTTCGCCACGTCGCCTACCCGGGGTTAGGTGTTAGTGCGCCTGCGAGGCGGGCCCAATCTCTGAAACTCTGTCAGCTACTCGCCATGAAGGCCGCGTGAAGGGCACGCGCCAGGCCAATTGCCTGGTTCCTTGCTCAGTCAAATTTGGGCTGGCCTGGAGACCAGCTTGGGCTGCGTCCCAGGCAAAAGGGTGGGCTGGAGCAAATTGACAGAGGCCTGGCTTGTTTTTTGGACTGAGGGCTGGGACATTTTGTCCCCGCTGGACTTGCTCTAAGAGCGTAATTCCTATATGAGTTTAATATATTTATATCACACTCATTGCTTCCAGCTTACTATGAAAGGCCTACCCGAAATGTCTTAAGTTTTAATCTCATAGGTATTAATGGAGTTTGAAATTCATACACCGTGAGTTTGAGTCGAATTACATTATTGCCATTGTAGGATGAGTTTGATATATTAAATGTGGGACCCGTTTACTTTTGTTTTCTCTCTATTTATGATGGGAGTTTTAATAAAACACTCATGGTACTGTTCACTTTTAATGAAAAACCACATTTATACATTTCCCTTGTACTATTTACTATACCTTTAAAAAGGGCTTTTCATTAAAAGGGAAGTTTTTTTGGACTTTTCGTTAGTTTTCCTTTTTATGATTGGTTACTTCATTTCTCTCTTTTGGTATATATTGTATAGGTATCTCATATATGAGTTCAATATATTAAACTAAAAATAAGAACTCATAACACTCGGATTTTTAGCTGCTATAGGAGTTTGATTTTTATATTATTAGTATCACACTCAATTTCTTGTCCACTATGGAAGACTTTAGTATAAATATATTATTATATAAAAAATGATCATTTTAGTTTAATTTTTTATGCAACGATACATTTATAAACTCACCCTTTTAGTGGTAAGGGGAGTAAATTGGTTTGATTTTGACTTCAAATAACAAGTTAAACAACTCAAAATCAGCCAACTCCTCTTAGTGTAGATTATATCGTTTGTTTAAAAATTAAGAAGTGTAACAATTGGGTTGGCTACAATTTTAAGCTTTGTGAACTGCCTTAAACCGAACTTGATTGACCATTACATATTTATTTTACATTAAGGGGTAGGAGAATAAATTGCTATCGAACTCGTCATCCACAAAATTTAAATTTATAATCTCTCACTTACAAAGGAAGAAAATACGACCTCGTACTTAAAATTGAAGGTTGAAACTATGAAGTTATTTGACTCTTAAGTTGTAACTATATTTGTTACTAGCCTTTGAACCTTGATAACATCTTAATTTTTAGGATGGTTTGATGCTAGAAAATAAAAGTTATATGGCAAATTATAGATTTTTATTGTTATAATTGGGCTAATGATTAGGTTTTAGGTCCAACCTGCCCGAACCAAGTCATCCAAAATTAATTTGGTATGATATCCTTTAGAATTTTTGTCACATCCGAATCGAATAATGTGAGTGAAAATGGGCCTGGGTTGGGGATAGCGGTCCATCTCGAACCATGCCCATTTCTTAGAATATTGTTCCGGTGAATCAAGGACCTAAATTATAGGGAGAAATTCACTATAATTAATTTTAGGGAATTTTACGAAAAGCATCCGGTACTGTTCATTCTAACGAAAAACCATATTTTTACCCTAAAAAGTCAATCCTGGTACTATTCACTTTACCCTTTATTTTGTCATTATCATTAAAACGCAAAGTTTTCAAGCCCTTTTCATTAGTTTTCCTTTAATTTTATCTAATGGAAAAATTAGTTGTGCTTTTTACTTGTAAGTTCAATTCTTTAAAAACGATCTACCAAATGCATTTTACACTCGTTTTTTGTACCTGTAAAACGAAAAGTTTACCAAATATAAGATTGTAAGATAAAATTTTGAATTGTTTACCCCTTCATTTAACAGAAAAAATAGACGGAGTTGACGCAAAGAACTAAAATGCCACTCCAGTCGAGAGTGAAAATGAAAGGGGAGGGGGGACAAGCTCATGGACAATTTTGCGATCAACCCAAATAGTAGCAATATAGATTAAGGGGTAAAACCAAAGTGTATATAAAAGATACAAAAGGGAGATTCAAGTTTAAGCTGATAGTCCATGTTTTCTATGTACACACCATTGCTGAAAGATCAATCATCAGACATGTCCTGACTTGCTTCCATCCATGAAACGAGGGTGTTGACATGAGGCATGTAAGACCGCCGGATACATCCATTTACCATGTCGACCTTCCTCATCTCTTGGTCTCGAAAACTGTAAGCATACAACGAGCCATCTTCGTCTCTCTTGAAAATAATATCTCCCTTGATTCTTAAACTGAAAAGAGGAACCATGTCTATGACGGAACCCACTGTGATACTGTGATTCTTTGTCCAGACTTCCCCACACAAACCTTTCAAGATCCAAATGTCGATATGGTTCATGCCCTCATGAATGACAAAACTCAAAAGGCCACCCATTTCAAGGATCATGTCATGAGTTCGGCTGGGTTTTGGGAGCGGTATTTGGTGAAACTTCTCCTTCTCAACTTCCATAGATACTATGTAATCGCTGCGGTCAACTTGAGGAATCCAGTGAAGAGCTCCAATGGCTGAAACAGGTGCATATCCAAACCAACGAAGGAGCCTGAATGGAGGGCCATTTACCTCTCTCCATGCTTGTGTCCAAAGACTCAAAATCTCACAGCTGTCAAACCCCAACTCATCCCGAAACAAGTGGACTACTTTGTATTCACCTGTAACATCATTCAGTATAAAACCATAGGATTCACGATGTGGACGAGATAAAGTACCCAGAGGAAGTGCAATCAGCTTCCTAGTCACAGGATTCATGACTGCTAGTCCTCCTTTCTTCACCATGTTATCAAGCAAAATTAGACCATTGCAGGTGGCTCTGATCTTGCCCGAACATTTTAAATTGTACTCTCCTATCTCACTCTTATCATTTTTGAAGTCCAGAAACTGGACAGAAAACATTGGAGAGTTTATGAGAGGATGGCCGAAAATGGGGATAGGGTTTGGATTAAGAAGTTTTAGTTCAACCGAGACAGTGTTTGGCTTCTCTCGTGGTATAGAAGCCTTAGAATAAGGGTATAAACTGTCCTTTGGAATTGGTGATAGAAAGATCAAAACAGATTCAGTACGATGGAGATGAGCATCAATGAATTTGGGGTTTTTAATTATGTTATACCAAGGCTTGCAGACAAACCTTGACCTTTGAAGAGAGTCGAGAGGAAGTCGCACAAGGATATTTGATATACAATCTTTATGGAGGTAAGGGGCTTGTGCTTCTGGCCGTTGTTTTTTCTCTTCCTCTAATTTCTTGGTCAACGATCTCTCCTCCACTAACCTTAATAAGCCTGCATTCTTGTTTCCAATTAATTTCTCCATTATGGCCTTTTAGTTTAAGCACTTGACACCTGCAAATAAAGGATGACGTTACAAACATTCATTTCCAAATGAAGTAAGAATTAAATAAGCCAAAAACAAAATAGAACAAGAGAGTGAGGATAACAATGGCTTGGCAGCTTTCAGGAAGCATCAAATGAAAAGTCATGAAACATACTGTGTAGAAACCTATTTCCACTGCCCAATGAGAATATTACACGCGAACTGAAGGAAGCCGCTTTGACAGTACCCCTCAAACCAACACGGGAAAGCTATGCACGATCTCGCCCTGCATTAAATGAGGTAGGTGAAGCCTCGACTTGGAAACCCACAGAGGAAGCCTCCTCTGTTGGGCTAGCGTACCAGACATACCAATTATTGCCCAAAAGCTCATCAACCCCTGCAGGGCCTAAATAAGGAATACAACCCAGATAACGGTTCATACTGTGACCAATGAGCGCACACCACGTGTACCGCTACAAGCTACAATCATTCTTGAGTTAAGCCAGTATAAAAGGACCAGGTACGACTAAGCTGGGGGCATGCTATTCAGAAGGTCCTACTTAGGATGACATCTAGCTTGCTTAGGACCAAAAGAAGCTCAAAAGGTATTAAGAATATAATTCATGACGGGGAGTGTGCCCTAGTAAAAAAGGCTCTAAAATCTAGCCAACTATGCACTAGGATGCCAGATTTATGTGCACAAATGAGAAGTGTCAGAGCTTCTCCGCAACACCTCAACAGCCACTCTAGAAACTTAACCCCCAACCTCTGCACAGAGCTCCTGAGGATATTTCCTGCATCCTAGTGGCCACCGATTACTTCACAAAAATAGGTTGAAGCACTGCCTCTGCATAGACATCTAGCAGAAAACAAGCTACCATGCACAAGGATATAAGGATAAAACGATACAAACTATCGCAGCTTGCGTAACAAACTAACAACAATAATAATCATCCAACTACAGCACCCCACCAATCGCAATCGACATGAATCAAAGAAAACAGAAACTCTCACAATTCTACACTACACATATAATTGTCGCCTCCTCCTCCTCCTCCTCCTCATCATATATAAAATGATCCAAACCAATCCTCGGTGTCCTTTTAGAGCGAGATTGCCAAACAAAGCATTATATATATATATATATATATATATATATATATGCATATAATTTCAGGATAGTAATAGTAACGAAGCCATTAATTAAGACAGACTACGACTTGACTTTTGTTGATCAAATTCAATTCAGAAACAGACTGACTAGCAAAGAGCAAGTAACTATTTATTTGACAAACACCACATCACACCACACCGAAACATCTCCTCCACGGTGGCAGGACCGGTGGTCCACAAAGCAAGCAGCCGGCCCTCCCTCCCTAGTTCGTAATCGCAAGCAGGAAAAAAAGAAGAGGGAAATTCAACACTAGTTCAGTAAAAAAGGGCGCCCCAAGCTAACCTTTCCGCAAAAATGTGACCTTTCAGTCACAAAGAAGCAACCTTTCCGTTGCGCGGAGGATCGCAGCCTTTTGAGTAAATTTTTCAAAAAGGAGAACCCAGAATCAAGAAGAATTAATTCAATTGTAGGAAGTGAAAGTGAAATGGTAAAAAAAAAAAAGAGTTGGGAATTGGGATCATATCTCAAATTCCCTGCGATTGGAATTGGAATGGGATCATGGGATTACCTGATTGATGATTGTGATTGATTCGTCGGGCGAAGGTGATCGAAATTCACAACGTCTGCGTCTCGGAATTTTGTAAAGAGAATGAAAACTGAAGCAAAAGCTACTTACCAGTTACCACTACCACCACTTATACGACAAAGGGACGACCAAGACCACGACCAAACCAAAGGAGAAATGCCCGTCCTCCGTTACTCACAACGCCAGCTGGTGCCCCGTGCCCTCTCTCTCTTCGGTTGATGTGTGTCCCTCAAATTTAATACTATTTTATTTCGTGTAAGGCAATTCACATACTCGTTTTTATTCTTATACACCATTCTGAAGGATTGTCTGCCCTCCCACTTCCGGTGCCCTCGTGCCCTCATGTTTATGTGGTCACGGTTAAGCCACGTCAACATTTTATATTACTATTTATTTTTATTTTATTATCTCTATAAAAAAAATTAATATAAAATGTTGACGTGGCTTAACCGTGACAACACAAAACAGGAGAGCACGGGAGGGCATTAGAAGTGGGAGGGCAGACAATCCTCGTGCTTCTCAATTTCAACCGTCAAATCAAGTGAATTAAAATATCAATGGCTTAAAATTAATAAGAATGTGTGAAAAGTAAAAAATAGTATGTGAGTATCACAATCTTTTTATTTTATGAAAAAAATGGAGAAAGTGTGATCTCGTTCAATCTAATTTTGAAATTTTGGATGAAAATTAGGTGCAATCTTATCCAAATGTCAAATGGGAATGCAATTACTTTTGGCCTACCAAGTCAAATGGAAAGTTATAATAATCTGAAGAAAAATGTATTTGTGAGAGTTTAAACTTTCGAGTTAGAGAAATTTTTTAGTTTTTCTAAAATACAAGTACACCACATATCAATGTACAAGTAATGAAGCATTTATAAATATATTTTTCACTAATTACATTATGACATATGAACAATCAACTCGCGTTCTGAAAACATTGAAAATTTTCTCCTCAAGTTCTAGTTGAGGAGTTCCAAACTAACCACTAGAAGAACCTCTGCTAAGGGTAGTGCAGGACCACCAATCTATCGTGAGCACAAGGCAACAGATTAATACTTAGCTTAGTTTATTTATTTATTTTTGGAACAAAAGCTTAGTTGTTAAGTTTTGGTTTATCTTATTTAGTGTGAAAAAGAAAGGAACCCCGCCGAGTACTTAAGCTTAGTTATCCTCTCCTCTCCTCCTCAGTCAATCCAGTCAATCCAGTCAGTCGTCATCACGGCGGTAATTAAATTTTTAATACTCTTGACCCTGAATTTCATTTCTTGGTAGTTACCTCACCAAAAAGATCTGGAGAGAATCTTGAAGATTTGTAAATCGTGTCAGTTCATCATACATTGTGCAGTCAGTTTTTATCAGGTACTGTTTGTATTTAATTTTAAATAAAAATATTTAAAATAATTTATGACCGATCATGATTTATGATGAACAAATATGATTTACGGATTCCCAAGATCCTCAGAAAGAGGATCCGGATTCCTTAGCACAAGTGCAAGTGCATGATCATACATGTATGATTTCTTGCAGTAGCAATACAAAATCTAGGTATCGTTTGGTATGCAGACAGGACGGAACGGGACGAGATGGAACGGAGAGGGAGCAAAGATGCCCTTGGATGGAAACAAGGAGGAAGAAGAAGGAGACGGAGAGGTTATAATTTTATGTTCCATGGATGTGGAACAAGTCGTTCCAAGGGGTGAGGCGGAACGAAAATCCACCCAAAATTCGTCCCCGTTTTAGGCACACCAAATGTGGGACGGAACGCCTCGTCCCACTTCATTCCATCCCGTCTCACGTACCAAACAGTACCCTACAGAAAACATTGCTTGTGGAACAAAATTATGAAAATGTACTTTTTGAAAGACTGCCCCTTTCTCCAGGTTAGCTTCATTTTCCTCCTGCATTTTCTCTTTTACTTGGACCTCCAGCGATCGATTTTCGACTGTTTAATTAAAGATATTATATTCTGAGTGTATGTCGACTAATTAGCTTAATTGGAGGATAAGGATTGTCTGCCCTCCCATTTTCGGTGCCCTTCGGTACCCTTTTGTTTGTGTGGTCACGGTTAAGTCACGTCAACATTTTATATTACTATTTATTTTTATCTTATTATCTCTATAAAAAAAATATAAAATTTTGACGTAGCTTAACCGTGACCACACAAAACAGAAGGGCACGGAAGAGCACCGAAAATAGGAGGGCAGACAATCCTTGTCCATACAGTGAGTCCAAGTGGCTGCCCAACCCATCCTGTAGTTATTTCTGTGCTTCTTGCAAAAACAGCCTCATCTTTTCCATTCCTAACCGCTGTAAGCCAAGCTGACCCACCAAAAGTAAGGACTTTTCAACTTCTCTAGATGAAAGCCATGAAAGTTGAAACTCCTTTTTTGCATCCCCAATGTCTTCTATGTCCGAGGACACATACCTCCTCCATATTCCTTAAATGGGCAAGACTTGCCTATGATGCTGCATGCGATAGAATTTTTTTATCACTCCAAAAAAAGTCATCCCGAGTATACATGATCCCACGGGAAACTAGGAGGAGAATTCTCTCCCGTCCTAATCTCTCTCCCCTTCCCTCCCCTTCTAATAAGACGGTTAGAATTAAGCTACGTCAATATCTTAAATTGATATCTTTTTATAAACAAAAAGCAAAGTGTGAGAGGATGGGAGTGAATGAGATGCACACAAAAAATTATAAAAAGAAAATAGAAATTCAAATTACAGAAATTACAAGTAAACTAGTAAAAAAACAAAACCAATAGTCTTGAGCTTATTAATTTTTTTAGCAGCACAGGCATTGCCGAGTTCCATCGAATTTTAAACATAGAAGGCCAAATGTTCAAATTTATTTGAAAACAATAAGCAGTCTCAGCACAGCAAACACTATTGTACAAAATCACATTGTCGATCAAAGCTACTACGAATACAAACTCCCGAAAGAATTGTGTAGCAAAGAAATTACGAGTATCTCTCACCTTTTGATTTTCCTCTTGTTTTTTTTCCTGCAATTTTGGTTTAGCTTTTTTGAGCTTCTAGCAATTCCAAGACGACGATCTCTTAATAACTGGCTTCATTTGTTTGTCTTCTTCGAGCGAAATCATCCCCAAGTGTGACGGATCCTCTAGCATCATCTTTGCAACCAGATATCCTGCTATCGACCATGTCTGGTACTTCCTTGCTTGTTTACCAATATATCTTCCTAGTTTCCCGTCATAATATTCTGGCCAAGAATCTTTTAGCAGACGACTCTCAGCAAGCTCGATTGCCCGTCTTGCAATTTGTGGTCTTCCCGTTTTGATGCAAGCGGCAGTCAGCATCCATAAAAGCACTGCAGCAATTTGAAAGACAAAAATATTAAAAGGATATGTATGGTAATGCGATTATAAGAGAGAATTGGTTAAGGTGGTTTAGACATGTGAAACAATGACCTAAAGATGCTCCGGTTAAAAAATGCGATTATGAGACAGAGGTAGGCCAAATGAGATAGAAGAAGACCCGGTAAGACTTGAAAGAGACTTTAAGAAATGACATGGAGTGCTTGGAACTAACGGAAGACTTGACGCACTCAGTGCAGCGACGTTCTATGATTCATACAACCGACCCCCCTAGTGGGATAAGGCTTTGTTGTTGATATGTATGGTAATAATCTTGGTGTGGTTTTTTCGAAGTGGAAACTTCATCTAGACCAGTCCTGGGGTAGATAATGGGGGCAATAACAGGTAATGAAAACAAAACAAAACAAAACAAGGCTGGGCAAGGGAATGCAGCCCAATGCTAGGCAAGGGAATCGAGTATATTAGGCACGAAGCCTGCTTGGTTCTTTTACGAAATTGAAAAAATAGATAACTGCGTGAAATATACCACCACTGTTTTCCGAAAACAAACTTGCAGAAGAGATATCAAACTTTTTCAGGATGAGTATTCAGTTCAAAAGTCAAAGACTTGTAATGAAAACAAAACAAGGCTGCTATTTCATACTACTTGAACACTCTAATTAAAATGTGCTTTTGAAAGCTCATCTAAGCAAGAAATCTTCCATTAAGTAAAACATCCATAGTCCAAAACTGATTTCCACCTTGGAAACCACCAAGTTATAATCCATAACGCAAATAATAATAAAATGATCTACCATCACAACTATTCATTTTGAATTTTATTTGCAGCAATAACATAGAAACTTCAAGTAGAAGGACAAACCTGGCCAGGATCCTCCATTATGGTAACTCCATCTGGTATTCTTGGGATCACAACCAGTTACGATTCGCCACTCATGACTGTCTATTGCTGGATAACATATTTTTAACGGCATTTCTCCAACCAACTCTTCCCAACGAGATTCAATGAGATCCATTATAGCCACTGATTGCTCTGGGGTTGCAAGAGAAGATAGAATTGCAACACAGTTACCCAAAGCAAACCATCGAAAATCCATCCTGGCAGGACTCACGTTGCCGATAAAGTAGCCACCACGGCTTGGCATAAAATCAAATACCCAATCTGGGATGGAATCAGGAATGACATTGAACTTATTTACAGCTGTGTGCGAGTACTCTTCAGTCTTGTAACGGTATATATCATTTAATTGTTGGAAATCAAGCCAGAAGTAAACTCGCATGTGGTAACTTAAGGCATGCAAACGCTTGACAATTCGCTCTATGAATTCTTTTCCTTCTCCATCAGGTTTCAGCATTCCCAATGCACATCTCAATGCCATAAAGAACAGAGCTTGGATTTCAATCGGATAA